AATTTATCCTTAATGAATATGATTATCCGTTAACTTTTTTGTTAGTTTCTGTTAGGTCACCGCTAACTTACTCATTGATTTTAATAAGAAAGGTCTCATGTCGAACCCCATCCCAATCAAATTAAAGTTGGCATAATTAGTACTCTATTTTACTCTTATTAAATTAATTAATTAATAATTTAGTATCTACAACAACAAAAATACATATGCATTTCTTTAATTTAAAATTATGTGTGTATAGTGTCTTTATTCAATAAAAATTATTCATTATCAATAAATTAAATAAGACAAATGATTTTATTAGTTATATTGTATTTATTTGTCTTCAATATAAAAATTCTTTACATTCAAATTCATCAATTAATTATATTCGCTACATTGTCCCTACAATGTCTTTATTAAAAAAAATTATCCATTATCAATAAATTAACTAAGAGAAATAATTTTATTAGTTATATTGTCTTTATATTTAACCAATGTAAAAAATTTTTACATTCAAATTCATCAATTGATTATATTCACTACATTGTTTATTATCTTTTTTTGTGCACTATTTTTTAATTAAATATCAAAGTTATAATAAAAAATAATGCTATATATTTATTTACCCAGTATTTAATTAATACCATGAAAAAATTTAAAAAATATAATTAATAAAGTCAATCATATTAACTACTTGAGGGATTTATTGACAAATAGAGTATTCAAATCACACAACAAATTGAAGCGAGAACTACCTTGCAATGTCCTTGTTTGACAATCAGCAGTTAGCGGATTATATTAGCAAATTTGACTAGCGAATTATATCAACGGTTGGTAAAAAAATATTTGAAAAAATTAGCAGTTTAGATTAACATGTAAAATGACCTAAGGGTATACATATATTTAATAATAATAATAATAATAATAATAATAATAATAATAATAATAATAATAATAATAATAATAATAATAATAATAATAACAATAATAATAATAATAATAATTGTTTAAAAATATATATAAATATATAAAAATATAATTAAGTCAATCATATTAACTACTTGGGGATTTATTGACAAAAAGAGTATTCAAATCACACAACAAATTGAAGTGAAAAACTATCTCGCAATGTCTTTGTTTGTCAATTAACAGTTAGCTCTTCAATATTTAATAATTTATATCCTAATTTTTATTTGCTCTCCATTATGTCCTGAATTCTGTTTCAATCATACCTTTATAATTATTTTATTGATAATTATAATCAATCTTGACTATATTATCTTGCATTTGTAAATTTAAAATTGCCTATTTAAATACACAAATTTAACATTCAATTATCTATGCATGAACAATTTCAATATAATCTTACCTTGATATACTTTAAAGTACTTATTTAAAAAAAAAAAAAAAACAATGGACATTATCTTAATCGCGCAATGCGCGTACAAAAATTAGTATATATATATATATATATATATATATATATATATATATAGACAAAAAAAGGCGAGCTGGCAGGCTAGTCCGTCAGCCCACGGGCTAGGTGAGGCAGACAAAAAAGCTCATTTTTTAAACGAATTTTAAATTCACGAGCCCACCCCGTCTTTTTGACGGGCTGGATGAGAAAGTTCTGCAGGCTAAGTCCATTTTGAAGGCTCTAACATTTATATTGCTAATCTGACAAAATTTTTTCCCTACTTCATTTTGCTAATCTCATTTGAGCGGGGAAATTTTCCCCCTTATTTTGCTAATCTCATTTGGGGGGAGAATTTTTTTCCCTACTTTATTTTGCTAATCTCATCTCATTTGGGCGGGGAAATTTTTTATCTACTTTATTTTGGTAATCTCATAGATAGATAAATAGATAGAAGATAGATTTGTTTAATTCCTTAGACTCTAGATCGAGGTCGATTTCTTCGTGGCCGCCCTGCCCGAGGTCATCTTCAATGGCTAAAAATGATAGGAGAAAGAAGAGGAGAAGGGTTGGAGGGGAGAATGAGGGGAGGGAGAGACAAAAGCCGCCGAGTGATGACAAGGACGACGGTGGTCTGACTGAAATCTCGCCGCCATCGCCGTGCTTCATGGAACTACCGGACGATCTGAAGCTGAAAATTATAGAGAAAGTGTCTGTACTAGATATTGTAGGAGTATGCGGCGTGTGCTCGGAGTTGCGCAGCTTGGTTGCTACAGATTCGCTGTGGGAGCGCCTGTTGTTGGACTATTTCCACGAGGAAGCCCCCGGGAGTGGGAAGTCCAAGTTTGTGGCCAATTGGAAGAAGCTGGGGACGAGGTTTTGGAGGCAATTTAGGGATACGATAGTGATGACCGTTAGAAGGATTAAATATGAAGACAGGATGTATTTATTAGTCTAATTGGAGTTGTTTAAGTCTTTGGTTGTCTACTTTCAAACTACACTTCAATGCATGCTGCTTTAATTTGATCTATTTATTAGATTGTGTTTTTGACAAACTGACAATATAATGCCTTTGAAACTTTTGTTTTTGGGTGCTTACTTTGAGACATATTATATGTATGTATGTATATGTAATAATCAAATTTAATTTAATTTCACACTACCCACACATTCTCTATATGAATATGCTCCAATGCCACCAGTGACATACCCAGAACTGAAAGATGAAATGTGGTACCATCGCTATTATCTTTGGAATTTATGTGATGAGGTTCGATTTCCTAATTGGCCTATTGTTGAGCATGTTGAATTTCTGCAGTCGTTGCTGGTCATGTGGCGTGAAGAGTCAACATTTCAAATTTGATGATGGTCTATGAGGAATAAAATAGAGGAATATCTAAATACTAAGAAAACACCTAAAGTTTGAGGAAAATGTAGAAAGCTATTATGACACAATCATAATAGTTCATAGGCCTTAGATTATTATGACAGGCCAAATTACTTAGCAAAGAAATATAGGCTATAATAAATTTCTTCTACCTTTTTTTTTTTTTTCGGGATATTGCATTTTTGGTCCTTGAGTTATGCAATATGCACAACTAGTTGTTTGTCTTTGGATGTCCACTTTTATAAATGTAATCCCCCTACAATGTTTGTTTTTTTTGTTCTTTACACTAATGTCTCTGCATCTTTTGTTTGCCTTTGGGTTTAACTTCTCCAAAATTGTACTCCTTGACCACTTTGGGGATTGTTTGGTGGAGGCAAATGGAAGACATAAAGGCAAATGACAAAAAAGCAACATTGAGGGGTGAAAACACAATATTGTGACACAACTAAGGACTATAATTAAAAAGTAGACCAATAGGGACTGAAATGACTAATTGTGCACAACTTGGGGAGAAAAAAATGCACTAATACTTATTTTTTTTTCCTTCTCCTAACTAGTAGTTTCTATGGTCAAGTTGTATAGCGTTTTTGTTTGAATTGTAACTTCTCTTGCAGCTCATGCACTTTAATGCTGGTGCTTTTGAACTATTTAGATTATGTGTTTTTTGACAAACTGACAAAATGCTTTGAAACATAGTGTATATAACAATCAAATTTAAAATTCATTTATTTCCTTTAGTTAAGCAAAAGCTTCCAGCACTGCCTCTGGTTATATTGAAAATATATTTGGCTCATCAAGTTTTTTTGTCATTCTAGAATATGTATTCTAAAGATGTGTGGTTTAGTTTTCACTGTTAGCTCATGAGTTCAAGCCTTGGAAACAACTCTTTGAATGCTAAGTTTGTGTATATCCCTTGCATAATTCGGACCTTTTATGTTGCTATTTGCCTGTTATGGATGGCTAATTTATACCTTCTGTCATGCTAGCTATTGACTTTGTGTCATCTCTGTTTTCCTTCAAGTTTTATAAATAAGTATTTTGAACTTTGATTTAGGTGTGCATCTTCTTCACTGAATGGTGAAGAGCTTGTAAGAGATGGTGGAATAAAACTACTTGTGAATCTTCTTTCCCGTTGCATGTGTGTAGTTTGATCATCTACCCCTGCAAGTGAACCATCATCTGTCATTGTTACAAATGCGATGCAAACGTTTTTAGTTTTAAGTCATTTTGAGAGTGCCAGAGCTGAAATTTTTGAATATTCTGGACTAGTTGATGATATTGTACATTGCACTGAACTTGAGCTCGTTCGAGCTGCTGTTGATGCTGCTCTTCAGAGCATTGCTCATGTCTCGGTGGACTGTGTCTTTCAAGATGCCTTACTTAAAGCCGGGGTCTTGTGGTAAGATAAATTTTCAGATCTTCAAGCCTATGTGGCCTGTGTTAAGATAATATGTAGAACTTTTCCGTCTTTTTCTTTTCATTCAAGACTCTTGAGAGGCTCTATGTGGATAGTATTCTGTAATCTTTTACGTCTTTCTAAACTTTTGATTTGAGTTCTATACAGCAAAACTAAAATAGTCGCTTATATCACCATTTCTTTCTTTATATTTCCTTTCCCTGAGTTGTTTGTCTTCATAGTTGACACCTTCACTTAGTTTTCTTCCTGAGAAGCTGCCTCTATTATTCCAAGAACTCTTATTGTATTATTTATAACCTGATATTACAGTGACTGGCACCGAGAAGACCTTTAAAAAGAGTAAAACCACTTATGCTTCTCAGCCATGCACTTTGAGGATTTATAGAACCTGGTTTAGGTTTAGTTGCACCCATTCTATCATGATTTGTTATTGTTCTGTATTTTGTATGCAGTAGTCAAATATGTTATGTACTTGGGTATTGATTGGTGCCAGTATGGCCGAGGTGGAGCTTATTGTAAAAGAGCTTTTCTGAAAAGCTTCAATTGTGAAGGTGCTTGAAAAGGGCCTTTTGCTTCTCATTTGGCTATAAAAGCATTTGTATTTGTATTGGCATAGCTTATGTTTTCTGGAGTAGATAAGCACCAATAAGCTGTAGGCCAGACAAACACTCAGTGGTTATGTTATCTGGGTTACACATTATTTTCCCTATGGTCACGGAATACGGAACTGATGTTATGGTGTTGACTTTGCTTTAGGTATCTATTACCGCTGTTGCTTCAGTATGATTCAACATTTCAACTGCTGAGGAATCAGATAAGTCAGAAGCCCATGGTGTTGGTGAAAGTGTTCAGATTGCCAAGAATTTGCATGCTAAACGGGCAGCTCAGGCATTATCAAGGCTTAGTGGTTTGGCTACTTAAAGCTATAATGAGGCTGCAGCTGATGCCCTTAAAGCTCTGCTGACACCAAAACTTGCAAGTATGTTGAAAGATCAATCACCCAAAGACTTACTGTCTAAACTAAATACGAACTTGGAGAACCCTGAGGTAATTGCTATAGATCTCGTGACTGTATTTAATGCCCAAAATGGATTTTCTCCATTCATTAAATGAATGTCATTTAGGGTCCGTTTGGAAAGCAGGAAAATGACTTCTGAAAAATGTTTTCTGGAAAATGAGTCATTTTCCGGAAAACATTTTCCTTTCCAGTGTTTGGTTGCATTATGAAAAACTGTTTTTCTGTGTTTGGTTCATTTTCTGTGTTAGATTGCCTCTGAGAGACTTCAGGTGGAATGAGATTTCCATTTGGAACCTAATCCTTAATTAGTTGCACTGTACTTCTGATGTGCCTTTTATTCCTGATTGTAGATCATATGGAACTCTTCAACGCGAGCAGAACTATTAAAATTTGTTGATCAGCAGTGTGCAAGCCAGGGACCTGATGGTTCATATGACTTGAAAGATTCACATTCCTTTGCATATGAAATACTGTCAAAAGAAGTGTTTGTTGGACATGTGTACTTGAGAGTCTACAATCATCAACCAGATTATGAAGTCAGTGAACCCGAGGCATTCTCTGTTGCTCTTGTTGAGAGTCTGCCTTGATAACCTTGCTTTTCTGTTCCTATTGCTTCGACAACCAATATTCCTCAACTTTGTTTAAGTGTGCTTTACGACACATGCTCCCTGCTTGAAGGCAATTGTTGGTGATGAATCTAGTCTTCTCCTTTTATTGCAAATGCTACACTCCTCACCAAATTTCCGTGAAGCTAAGGAGCTCTCCATGTTCTTTATGCCTTAGGAAGCACGCTAGAGCATGCATGGTGGCCGGAGTGGTCTACATTCTAGAACTACTCCTTTGCAAAGTAGGTTGTTGTTTTTGTCTTCTCATCCATGTTGAAAATCCCATTGTATTCACGGTTGGGTAATACGGTTGAAAAATCCCAAAAATAATAATAATCCTACAGAAAGATTAATATTATATTGGGAAAACAGAAAACTGGGAAGGAAAAGGTTGAGTGTTTGGGTATAGGGTTTAACATGAGTTCGAACACAAGGTTCTTTTCCTTAAAACCTTACTAGTACTCCACCCGTGCGTTGCACGGTATGAAAGTAAATAAAGAAATACACAAATAGTTATATATATATATATATATATATATATATATATATATATATATATATATATATATACACAGAGACATGTATATAGACACCCATAAATTGACATATACGATCGCATAAATACTAAATAATTACTAAGGTCAACAAAATAATATGCATTTTATAACAAAGATTTTACAATATAAATTTCAATTTAATCTTTATAATTTGACATGAGACTTCTTGGATATAAATTGCACAAAATTAATAAATATTAACATATATGGACACAGTAAACTAATCTTGACTATTAATTACAAATACATATGATTATATTAATATAAAAAAAATTTAGACGGAAAGCTTTAAAAAATTTTGAATTTAGAATTCAATACAAATAGACAAAATCATACATACAAATTCAATCAAAAAACACATATCAATTCATTACAAATATTAAATAAGAAATATATTTCAATATAATAACAAAATTTCAAATACAATATATTCAATTTACAGAACACTAAACATAAATTCGTAATCTACAGATTAAAAATAAATACAAGTTTAATTCACACTAACACCATTTAAATACACTAAGATGAGGTATAGGCTAAATGTATTTAACTAACATTTTGCAATGTTATTATTGTATTTGTTATTTATTATTTATTATAAGTGCACCAATTAGAAAAAGGCCACCTAATAAATTCATTAAAAAAAAAAAAAAAAGGAGGTCTAGAATGCCGTTCGACGCAAGCTGTCCTTCATCCCTAATCTCTAACACCAGTTCTCATTCTAGAATGTCCAGTTTCAGGCAGCACACCACATCACCATTAAGAACCAAGCTTTCCTTCTTCCACAATAAAATCGTTACCGTTGGCCATAACCCCCGACGCAAGCAGCTCCTTCTTCCCTTCTCTCTAAAGCCATTTCTCATTCTAGAAATTTCACTTCCAGACCGAACACCACATCACCATTAACAACCAAGTTTCCTTCTTCCAGCATAAAATCGTTGCCGTCAGCCATAACCCAGCGATTAAAAAGCCCAGAAAATGAACATCGAAGGTTCTAGTTCAAGATGTAAACTTAGGGTTTACAACATACGCCAAAGCTTCGCGATTTCTCTTCCCCGAACCTCATCTTCTATAATACTACCTTCCATAAACACGAAATTCCAGCCTTTATACTACTCAGTTGAAAAGGCATACCGGATTTACCAAAATCACAAACCCTAATCTACAAGCCGTCAGCTTCTACTACAGTAACCACCAAAGGCGAAATTCATAACACACAGAGCAAGAATCAGTTACGATCTACCATAGATCTACAATATCAGTATGGTAAAACACACTTTTAACAACTTTTGATTTTTTTTTTCACACTTTATTTAATATATGTGAAAACCTAGCTTCAATTTTGTCGTATTGTTAGTATACATGCATAATTTCTGAACATGAACAAATTCAAAATTTCTGAAAAACTGATTCAGTCTAAAAAATAGTAATTATGCCCATGTTCTTCATACAATTTTTTTTTTAATGTACATTGAATTAAATTTTGTTTTTAATAAACATGATGTTGGAAAATTAGCTTAAAAATGACATAAAATGGCATTATAAGTGGCTACCTTGTGGTACAATTATCAGTGGGGTCCACTTCCGATTTGGGTCGGGTCAAAGTGGATTCGTGTTCTTCGTAGTGAGACGAAGAGATTGATATATTGTACGCTCAAAACGGATAATGGGTGAATGAGATATTGATTCTCAAAGTAGACCCATTTGAATTGGGAAATGAAGGGAAAATGTAGGACTTTGTCCCACATTGGTTTGGAAACAAGATTTGCCCCCCTTATATACATGAGCTCATTTCAAGCTTGTAGAATTGTATAGCATAGAGGCTCTCTCGCGCGGGGGGGGGGGGGGGGTGCAAATCAAAATCCAACTAGAAGAGCTCAAAAGGCTTGAATCAAGCCCGAGCTCGCGTGTAGCATGAGAGGTTGTGGTGCACGGAGAGCAAAACTCTCGTGCAACGGTGAATACGAGAGTTGTACTGAGTTGTACTTTCGTGTAGCACCACAGCACGAGAGCTGTACTTTCGTGTTGTGTCACAACACGAGAGTGGGTACTCTCGTGCACCACAGCACGAGAGTGGGTACTCTCGTGCACAACACGAGAGTGGGTACTCTCGTGCACCACAGCACGAGAGTGTATACTCTCGTGCACCCCAACGGTCAGAAGATTAAACTCATCTGTTACGGAATTAATACTGTTTAATTCCAATTGTTTAAACTCAGAGTTTAATCCTACTTAGTGCTGACCGTTACAGGTGTTACACAATTGGTTTTAATCCCAATTTACTGCCATGTTGAATGCTATCCCTTCCAACGAGCCCTATATAAAGAAGAGGTTGGGCAGAAGCATTTTACACACACAGTGAGAAAAACGAAGGAATTCCAGTATAGTTTTCAGCTTCAAAACTTCTGCTTCTACTCTCTTCTTTCCCCAGCTGTGTTCCAGCTTTGTTTTGTTCGCCGGGCTCTTTGTTTAGGTGCTTAAACAAAGAGTCGTAGCACGTTTTATCCTGGGAAACCTAGGCTACAACGCTCCTAGCACTTGTGGGAGGTAGCAAATAAGGTTTTAAGGAAAAGAACCTTGTGTTCGAACTCGTGCTAAAGCCTTCACCCAAACGCTCAACTCTTTTCCTTCCCGGTTTTCTGTTTTCCCTAAGTTATAATAATTTTCTGTAGAATTATTATATTTGGGGATTTTTCACCTTTTTACCCAACAATCTTAAAACCTTATTTGCGTTTCCCGTTGGTTGTGTGTCTCTAATTTCCTAAAAGAAATGGAGAATCCAGTTTTGCCAGCTCTCGGGGAGGAGAATGTTGTTGAGAACAACAATGGTGGGAATGGCAATAATGTTGCTAATTCCCAAGCTACACCAGTGAACGTTGGTTCACAAGATGGTGGGAGCACTGAGGGATATATTCCCATGACTCGGGTACCTACGGTACCGAGTGGTTCGGCCGAAAGACCGGAGAAGTTCACCGGTATTGGATCGAACTTCAAGAGGTGGCAGCAAAAGATGCTGTTCTACCTGGCAACTCTCGGGTTGGCGAGATTCTTAACCGAGAAGGTTCCCGAATTAAGGGAACAAGATGCCCAATCCGTGATGGCAGTTGGCTATTGGAAGGATTCGGACTTCCTATGCCGAAACTACATCCTAAACGGATTATGTGATGCTTTATACGATGTATATCGCAAGATAGGCACAGCAAAAGCGTTGTGGGAAGCCTTGGATCATAAATACCGAAGTGAGGATGCCGGCGCAAAGAAATTTGTGGTTGGCCGATTCCTTGACTTCAAAATGGTTGATTCCAAGACCGTGCTAAGTCAGGTTGAGGATTTACAACTAATCTTTGATGAAATCCGTGACGAAGGCATGACGTTGAGTGAAGCTTTCCTAGTGGGATCCGTTATCCACTTGCTGCCTCCAGGGTGGAAGGACTTCAAGAATTACCTTAAGCATAAGCGAAAGGAAATGAACCTGGAGGACCTAATCCAGCGACTCCGAATTGAGGAGGGGAACAGGACGAATGATGGCAGAAATACTGTCACTGTTGGCGCTAAGGCCAATGTTGTGGAGCATGCCAAAGGCTCCAAGAAGAACAAGAAGGACAAGCAGAAGCTAGGTCCGAAAGGAGGCATTACCAAGAAGAAATTTCATGGAAAATGCTTCAATTGTGGCAAGACTGGCCACAAGTCCTCTGAATGCAAAGTTCCTAAGAAGAAGAACAAGAGTTCTGAAGCCAACATGGTTGAGGAAAGCAATCAGAAGGAGGTCGAGATTAGCCTTTCGGCTATGGTGACCGAGGTGAACCTCGTGGACTCTAACCCACGAGAGTGGTTCATCGACACTGGTGCAACAAGGCATTTGTGTTGCAACCGAGAGATGTTCAACACCTTTGAGACCGTTGAGGGCGAGAAGGTTTGGATGGGAAACTCTGCTCAGTCTGCTGTGGAAGGCATGGGCAAGGTGGTTCTGAAGATGACTTCCGGGAAGGAACTGACGTTGAACAACGTGCTGTATGTTCCAGAGCTGAGGAAGAATCTGGTGTCTGGCTCACTGTTGAACAAGCATGGCTTTCGCATGGTGTTCGAGTCAGACAAGGTTGTTTTGTCTAAGTTAGGAATGTTTGTAGGCAAAGGTTATGTAACCGATGGGCTCTTTAAGCTCAATGAAATGCCTATTATGAATAAAAGCAAAGTTACTTCCGTTTACTTGCTTGAGTCTTCCAATTTGTGGCATGGTAGACTAGGTCACGTTAATTATAATTCTATGCGTAGATTAATTAACATGAACTTAATTCCTAACTTTCATATTAACACAAATAACAAGTGTGAAATTTGTGTTGAGGCAAAATTAACGAAAGTACCTTTCAAATCGGTTGAAAGGGAAACTGAACCACTAGAATTAATCCATAGTGATTTGTGCGATTTTAGATCGATACAAACGAGAGGTGGTAATAAATATTTTATCACCTTTATCGACGATAGCACACG